ACATACAATACTAAACAATATAGTCTACAAATATGTATGTAATAGAATTACAAAAGCAAGCAAATGATAAAATTAAGCACAGTAGTTACTCCTTGACAAAGGGGGGGTATGCTATTCGGAGGAACATGCTATCATTAAGTGTACACTAAGTGTATGTCTTTTTAAAAATATCGGGGCATTCTATCTGCCAAACAAATACTACAGAACCTTTTATGTTTGAAATAGTTTACAAATTTTTTAAATTCTGTATACAAAGATCAAACTATCTCAAAAATGTATTTATATGAAAACAAAAACCTCAAGGTATAAAAAAACATTTTATATTAGGGCAATGGGATTTGGGGGTAATATTTTCCTCATGTTCACATTCTTCTTCAGTATCTTTAACAATGAACATCACTTTTTAAAGCATTTTTTATTACTACAGCAAGTACCCACCTGATCACTGAGCAGAAGCCGATTTCCTCCTTGATATAAAGTTTCACAAAGCATGTCCACGTCACTGTTCAGTTTGGACAGAAACGAAGAATGTTCCTGAGCAGATACTACCAACTGACTTTGTACTAAAGAAACATCCTGCTTTAATTTCTCAGCCATGTCCTCCAGGTTTCCATGGGTTATAAACAATTCCTTTTTCTTATTCTCCCCTTCTAAAAGCTGATAAAGCCTAAAATGTGAAATAAAAATTACAGGAAAATATTCTGAAGTCAGTACAGTTTCTAAAATTAAAATTCACTGTGTTGGGGCATCTTTGGAGACAGATAACAATTTAAAAATATTAATCTGCTGATAAATCAAGCAACTGAAAACACTGCAGCTAAAATACTGTCTCATTACAGAAATACATATTCTGATTATTGTATCAGAATCTCTAGTTTTAACCTCTCTCAAGGTTTAGGTAAGAAATTCTTTTTAACTGCCATTAACCTACTTCAAACAAAGTATGTTGCAGCAATATCTCCCAAGAAATCACTTCTCTCAGAAAATGAAGTAGTAGTAACAGAAATGAACTTGACACAGAACACCTAGGTCTGAGTCCTGGCTGTTATGTGAGACCTAGGTCAAAGTCAACCTCTTGAGACTTAATTTTCACATCTTAATATCTACCCATTTTAAAGAACTGTGGTGGACTTAGAAGAGAAAAATTGAATAAACAATGTAAAATGTTCAAACGAAGTAAACAATAAGAACTATATAAATAAAAATAGTAAACTTGCTACTCCTGTCTCGTCCATATTTGGTAGGCAAATTATAATCTTGATAAGCTATGAAGCCACTTTTAACACTACAAACGTAAATGGCAGAAAAATCCTGAGACAAATGGGAAAATGTGAGGCAGCATCTTCCATACTTACCTGACAAAAAGGGTTTGCTGTTTTCCTTAGAATTCAAAAAAAAAATTTATTACCTTAATTTAACAAGTTGCAACAGACTTCATAAAACTGGTTCAAGTCCAATTTTGCCAATCTTGTTCCATTGGGATGTGACTACACAACTCCAGGGGGCACCGTTCACACAGCTCATGTCAATGCCACCCTCTGAAATTGTTAAATGAAGCAGCCCAATCTGTGCCCCTCATTTCATTAATAAGAAAACAAGGGATGAGATGATTTTCCTCTAGTCTTACAGAAAAATCAAGAGTAGGATCCAGATTTTTGTGGCCTTTGACTACTTGAGCCCTCCAATCTAGGTATTCCCTTAGCATCAATTGCTCAGACATCCAGAAAAGGTTCAGAGTTAAGACCCATTCTCACTGATTCACCTTAGGCACAGAAATTAAGTAGGTCTTCTCCCCTCTCTACTGCCACCTTCTCAAAATGCTATCAGTTCTCTGCCCAGCAATACCTACTGTACACTAAGCCGTACTCAAACTTCCTGTTGTAGCTGAACTCCTGGCCCACATCTAAAATAAGTCATCTAAATAATGATGCCTAAAGGTGAATAAGACTTCATATATATTCATTTCTCCAACTCATCCTCCTCAGCTCTAAAATAGCTACTTCCAGATTTAACATGAATGGAAAAGAAAGAAATTAAAAAAGAGAGGCATATAAAAGAAAAGTGCAAGAGAAGAGCCAAAAATAGGGTCAAAGTATTTAAACTTCTATAATTTTCATCCAAACTCTCTCCAGTATTTTATAAAAACAAAGGAAAAATAATTATTAAAAAAAACAATGAAGCATACCTATGAGTAGAATAATCCTTGGTATCAATGGTGTTCCTTGGACTTATCTGCTGAGACACTGATGGGTCTCTTAACATTTCTAATCGCTGGTGGAGCATCATATTACTTTGACTAAATTCTTGAACCAAATTTTCAAGTTGACGATATATGTCCCAATGCTTTCTCAATTCAATTTCATATGATAACTGCAGAAGTTCAAATGATGCCTTTTGCTTTATCAACTGATTTAAAACTAATTCTTGTCTTGCTGTATAATAGTCTTGTTTAGCAATCTGCAGATCAAAGTCTCCCTTTACCACTGGCATATTCAGTAACTGGGCATTCTCTTTCACCACAGCAGGCAAACTTTTGTCTTTAATGTGAGTGATCTGTTCTTCAAGTTTCAGAATCTCACTATTCAAGCTAGAAATTTTAGAATCCAAATTATCTTTGCCAAGAGCCTACACAAAGAAAGCAATTACATTTCAAACTGTAAGTACAAAGCTGAAATAGTCAAAGAACTATCTTCACTTTCCATTTTAGGTTATTAGATAGCATGGTCATTAATAAAAACTAATCTTACATTAGACAAAGTGAAAACCAGTTTTAAAAATGTGGACTAAGCCAAGGGTAGAGCCCGTATGAATTGTTAAACTTTAATGCTACTGCTACCACATATATACAGAAATGGCTACCAAAATAGGGATCTCTCATCATACTTGGTTTACTCAATAAAAATCATTAGCACACTATTTACTAAATGCAAATATATGCTATTTAAGTTGTTCTTAAAATTAGCTATTCTTCTAGTGTGTTGGCTGATTTTAGCACTTCTATGGACTGACAGAACTCCATACATTATTCCAAAGTTTGTGCTAGTTACAGTTAACTACCTTGGTTACAGATATTCCATTTCGGAGAAGATACTCAACTACCTAGTGTTTACATTACCAAGAAAGCAAGCTTTCCAAGAGTGTAGACAGCTATCTGTAACACATCTACACGTTGTCAACAAAGAATCAGGGCTTCAGTGCCCTGAACTGGATCTCTGACTTCATTAGCACCACACTCAGGTCAGAGCAAACAAGGCAAAATACCACAACACAGCAGTAAGGCTCTTTCACCCATAAGCCACAAAAAAGGAAATTACAGTGTTGTTTGCACCTGAACCAACACAAATTCCAAATTCAGAAGGCACAAGTACATTTTGTTTAACATTAGCTAACTGGTTGGGGTTATAATCACTACTTCTGCCCTCCACTAACATGAGGACTTATTTGAAACACTGACACATTATCACAACTAAACACTCAACAGAAATCAGGGATATGACATTACATCCCCTGTTCTAAAGTACTTTGGTATCAATACTGTATCCTCCCTAATAATTAAATAGGAATCCAGTCTCACGTTACCTTGCTGGGGAGGCTATGAAGAGTCTCCTCTGCCCATTTTATACTCGCCTTCATGCTCAAATTACTTGCTTTCAAGTGAATTAATTCATGTTGAGCACAGATGTATGCTAGCTGCAGCCTAGCCATCTCTAGCCGTCTCTCCTCAAGGACTTCTTGATTATCACATATAGATGGTGCTTGTATATCTAAAACTTGAAAATTTTCTTCATTTGAACTTTCAACTACTTCACATATACCCTGGAAGAACTTTTTTTTGGTATATAAGGTTAATGCTTCTGTGCTTTGCTCTTCTTGGCTTAGATACTTTTCCAAGGAAAACTGAGATAAAAACACCAGTGGATTTGTCCCTTGACCCAAATTAGAATGCCTGAAGTACATCATCAGTCTTGCAACTCCACCAGTAAGAGCCTGAAGGTCCTTGGTGATCTTCGCACTCACAGCATTTAGAATTCCGTGGCTCTGCTTCAGCTTTTTAGCAGCTGCTTCTTTAGCATTTAACCTCAGAGATTTGTGGCTGGTCACTGAAGCCATCAACTGGCATTTATTACGGCGCTGAATTTTTAGGTTCTTTAGTTTCTGCAGAGTTTGAACCTCATCCTGTAATTTCTTTAGCTCTTTGTCATCCAAGATGGTTGCCTTCAATTCAGAAGTTTTACAGGTTTTAAGAACTTCATCTAATGCTGCTCCTTCTAGGATGGGCTTGCCTGATTTTTGAACAATACTAAAAGCTTCCAATTCTTCTTCAGATAACACATTCTGTTCGCTCACATTCCCACAAAACCACTTCAAAAATGATTCGTCTTCAACAGTCTCAAACAACCAGTCAAAATCTTCCCCATTAAGAATATCAGCTCTTGGATAATCAATTTTTTTTAATGTTTCCACAAACTCTTTTCCACAGCTCATGGTTTACCCGAATATTTTGTAAGTGATATGGGTTTACGGTGTGATATTTAGACAAAAAAATCCAAATACAAACTAATCTTACGTTAAGTCCACAGAGAAGGGCAAAAATATTTTTAGAACCTACAATGATTTCTCCTGGGGGTGGAAAGAAACAAGTATTAGATCACAAATGAGGTGATTATAATTTTTAAAGGATGATATAAATATCACGTATTTGGGAACCACTGGAACCTAGAGGTAGCTGAAGCTGAAATGTTTGATGATTAAGAGAAAACAATCACTCAGATCACTGCAACGATAATAATAATCTAACATGAAAACCTTGCTGCTTCCAAAGATAAAGCAGTCTCAAATACATTATATTTTACGAAGCGGTTCAGTTCTAAATGAAAAAGTAAACGGATCTAAACAATCTCAAGCCATCACGTGATTAAGCAAACTCTTTTCTCTGACCTTCCTAAGAAAATAAAAATAAATATGGTAAGATTTTTGAAGTCGACTAAACATTCATTCACCTTAATGACTCACTAGCACCCGCCGTTCATACCAGAAGCAACACCCAAATATGACCGACCTAGTGCAGAGGAAAGTCTGGCTTAGGGTTTAAGAAAAAGCCTCAACGTGAGAATAAAAAATACTTGTTTTTCAACAAACACAACGGTGAATCATCCACGATGACGGAACCGGGCGAACTTCACTGACGGTGGCAAATGCAGATTAACGGTACCCGTACCACATTTGGGGCACAATCTCTGGTTTGGTTTTGTGAGACTCAGTTATGCATGTATGCCTATTAATTAAAAAAACATAAAAATCACCAAGTCAGCTTTAAAGACACACTGCACAAACCGCACCCCGATTGCTGGCTGGCCCTTTCGGAGATCGGGCGCGCGGGCCCGCATCCCAGCAGCGCCTCAGGGGCAGCGCGGGGCCCGGGAGCCCGCGCCCGAGGGGCCCCTGCCACGGGACCGCCCGTCCCCGGGGCCCCGACCCCGGGCGCCGCGAGCCGTCGCCTCCCGCCCCAGCGCCCGGCTCGGGCCTAGGCCCACAACACGCCGCCGGGCGAAAAGTTACTCGTGGGCCTGGAAGGAGTCCCCAGAGGCGCCCGGAAAGAAAAGACAGCCGGGTGGCCGGCGCTGATCCACAGTCCCACTCCCCGGACTCCCAGGCCCGCGAGGTCCGCGCCACTTACCTCAGGAACCCCCGCTCTCGTCCCTCAGAAACCGCCGCAGCGTCTTCCGCGCCCCGCACTGCCTCACGGGAACGCCGCGAGCGCCCGCGCGCAGGGCGTCGAAGGGGCGGGGGTGATACCGCGGGGGACCGTCTGCGCAGGCGCGGTGTCGGAAGGGGTGGGGCCCGGGGGCGGAGCCGGCTGTCTGCCCGCAGGGAAGGCGCTGCGAGCCGCGCGGAGGCGGCGCGGGGGGCAGGCCCGGCCGGGGGTGTCCCGTGCCGTCCGGGGCCGTGAGAACGGGCGAGCCCGGTGGCCGCGACCGCCGCCGCAGTCCTGCAGCGCGCTGTTCCCGAGCCCTCCCCGGACCACTAAGCAACCCCATTTTCAAAATACAGCTTTAAAAGTTGCAAGTGTAACTCACCGAGAGTTCAGGTGTCGAAGACGCTTCTGACTCGGGCTGGAGCGCCGTCCCGAGGAGGAGGCCGGAGTCCGCGCGTGGGCGAGAGCGCGCGGAAACAAGGCCGCCGAGCCCGGCCGCTCGCGCCCGGCAGTCCGGGGAAGCAGCCCTTCCGCTGCCGTCTGTGCGGACGGGTTCGTTTGCCGCCCTGCCAGACAAAAACCCCTTTGGGCTTAGCAGGCTTCCTCAAGGTGACGGCTGCTCGGGCAAGCTTTGGGCGCCGGTCGTGACCGCATCTCTGCTCCCCCGACGGCCCCGCGGCGGCTCCTTAGCCGGGATCCTCGTCTAGTGTGACGCTGGAGGGGCGGAGGGCTCTCTGGGTGATTTTTCTTAATATTTTTAAAGACAGGAAAAAAAGTTATGAGGTAGGTATCACGAATCTTCGGTTGAAGATCCTTCCTCCTGATTCTTCGTTTGTTTTACTTTCATATCGTCTCTTCTAAAATACAATAAAGCCTGAAATTATCTGAAAAACAAACAGTGCAGGGGGAAAACTTCATGGAGCGGTGCCGGGCCTGAAACCCGGGCAGCTGGGTCGGGGGGCAATGAATGGGCCGCTGGGGGCCCTGGGGGAGCTGGACCCCGGCCGGGGCGGGAGCCGGGGAAGGGCGGGCCGGGGCGGGGCCGGAGCAGAGCCGGCGGGGAGGCCGCCCTTCGGGAGGTCCTGTCGAGGGGGCAAAGGTGCGGAGAGGTGAGGGGTGGGAGCGCAGAGCCCCACGCCTCTGGCTTTTGTTTTAAGAGGGGAAGAACTGGGGATGTTTATAGACTGTGAGGAGGAACTCGGAGCGGACAGACGTGAAGATGCCAGAAAGAAATGGGGCTGCTTTAAAGAAAGATCCCTGGGGACGGGAGGGAGACGCCGGTACTCAGGGGCGTTCTAGAAGCCCACTTTCCCTGGTGACCTCCGGCTCATCTCCTGGGTCCACAAATTCTCCATGTGATTCTGAATTGCCGACCACAGTTGAAAGATGTTCGTGAGGCCAGAAAGAGCCATAAAAATACAAAGTAAAAAATCACAGTTGGTATTAGCCCCCTAGAGTGCGAATGACAAACACAGTAGGTGTACCTGCACGAGCTCAGTGTTCTTTGAAGACCTGACTTACCAGAGCATTTGTGCACTTGGGTTGCAGTGGTAATTAAAGCAAGCAAATAGTACTTCGACGACCGATTTCTTTCCTCCAGTCAAAATGATCTGGGGTTTCAGTGGGTTATCAACCGACTCCAGACATAAAGGGAGCCCAGGAACGACGGTCCCCTGAGCAGACAGACCCGTGGGATATAATGGGCCGCACAGGCCTGAGCACAGAGCGGAGAGCTGCGTCTTGGCTGTTTGCTTTTTCTCCTTTTCTCCTTCCCGTAGGAATCTTTTTTTCTCCGACTGATACTAAAAAGTACTGTAGGTCTTGGATGGTGTTTTTTCAGGTATGTTTAAACTGCAGTCTGATGAAGATACCGGTTTTTAGTGTGGTTTTCAGTGATGGTGAACAGGATTCCATTCTTCAAGCCATGGTGGCTTGATTCTGCAGTAACAAAAAGTGGCAAGAACCACATGCCGGAGGTGCTGGGCATTGAGCAGAGGAGGAGCCGCCTGGGGCATCGGAGGGGCAGAGAGCTGCCGGCAGGACAGAACCCTGGGCCTGGTCAGAGTGAGCCGGAAGGGGCGCACCCTCCCGGTCTCCCATCAGCCCCTGCTGTTCAGAGGAAAGCAGAAGACACCACCTGTACTGCCAGGAGGAGGTGGCAAGGAAGGGTGAGCAGGTCTTCCATCCCTTTGACAAAGGTGAAAACTCAGTCCTCAAACTCAGAAGCATGTTGGGTTTAGGAGCTCACCAAGATGGCCCGGCAGGGGCTGGGGAGAAATTGAGGGGCAAGGGGGCAGAGAGGGGACTGAGAAGAGGGGTGGGGCTCTCATAAAAGGCCTCAGGATAGGCTGAGAGGGCTGAAGGAAGGAGGGGCTGGGAGGTATTTCAAGCTAAAAGGGCATGTGGCATATCCTACTTACAGTCTGGGAGGATCCTATGGGGGCCGTGTGTGCCGAGGACCTGGCCTGGCTGGGGACTGGGAGGTGGAAACAGGGACTGACCACTGATTGGCCCAAATTAGACCAGCACCCAATCTGGGTGACCATAATCCCGGGAAAAATGTGCCAGAAAAGGGTGGGGCAGCTTCAGGACCCACTTCCCAGAGAACAGCCAGCTGGGCTCTGAGCTGAGGGGCCGGCAGCACATGGGAAGGGTAGGAAACAGGGTGGGGATGGGTTGAGTTGGAGTCATAGGAGCGGATGGCAGAGAGTGGGCACCTGGGTTTGACCCTGGAGGTAAGGGGGACAGCAAGGCCACCCGAAGTCATTCTGGCTGCCTGGAGGAGGAGGGAGGGAGGGTAGAGATGAGCCAGCTGTCCTGCTTGGTAGTCAGGGGTGGGGGGGGCGCACTTGCTGTCATCCAGGCCTTAAACATGAAGATGTAATTTGGTGGTGAGAGGAGCTCCGAGGAGCAGGGTGGATGCCACCCCCCACCGTCTGGCAGGTGGGCCTGGGGATGGCAGGGCCCCTGCCCAAGCCTCCAGTTCCTGTCTATGAGATGTCCAGGTGAGGACATCGGGCTCCAAGTAAGGAAAGTGCTTGGCACGGCTCCAGGAGCCCTCAAGCCCTCAGCAAAAAGGGGTGGTGATTTCAAGTCAGAGTAATATTTGGAATTCGAATGTTCACACTGACATTGATGCCCAAATTCTGCCTGGAGGCCCCACCCGCATCGCCCTTGTTTCTAAGGGCACCCCCCAGGGACACTCACACAGCTTCAGGCGGCCACCTTGCTGCCTGCTCACAGGAGGCAGGAGCTCAGATTCCCCACTGTGGTCCCTGCAGGAGCTCTCCCAGGGAGACCCCCAAGCCCACCTGAGCACCTCACTAGCAATCTCCAGTGTGCTGTGGCCACGTGTGCAGTGTGGCAGCTCCAGGGTCTCAGGAAAAGCCCTGCTCTAGCTACACAGAACCCCATGGACACAGGTGGGCGTTTCCTGCCCCACTGACCCCTGCACAGGTCCTGGGGGCAGAAGGCAGGTGCCAGTCCACAATGCTGCAGACAGGTCCCAGGAAGGTTTGTTGGGGTGCATTCCTGAGAGCCAGCAGCCACTCTGTGGAAAGGGCACGGGCACATAGAGGTGGCCTAGGATTCCTGACCAGCATGGCATTCACCTTGAGGGCCGACCACCATAAGGGCTGAGCTGTCCTCATAAGGCAGTGCCCCAGCGCCAGGGCCAGAGCAAGAACGCCTGGCTGGCACACAGGTGGGGTGGGCACAGGAAGGGCCCACCTCCACCCACACCTTCAACCCCAGGTATGACTCTCCAGTGATGGCAGCAGGGACAGTGGGGTCTCAGTGGTGGCCATTCGGCAGGGGTGTGGAGAACCACGGTCTGTTGGGCCTCCCAGAAAGCAGAGGCCGTGAGGATGGTGGTGAGCCACCGAGACCACCCGTGGGCTAGGCTCCACGTGGAAGCCGAGGGGAGGGAGCCAAACACAATGGAAAGAACCGAAAGCCAGAGGGCTGAGGTATAAAAATCTGTATTTATGTTACAAAGACAGAACGGTCGGTACAGCACAGTCCCTCCCGGTGAACAGACAGGCGCACGGCCCGTATTTCTCCAGCAAGGATCTCGGGGCGCCCCACCTGGCCAGCAGTCAGGCCCCCTGCACAGCCCCGGCCTCCCATGCAGAACCTGCCCTGGTGCCCTGGAGGCGGCTGTGGTCAGATCCCTGTGCCCACAGCAGTGAGGACAGGGCCTGAGGCTGGCCGGCCCGGAGAGGGGCAGGGGATGGGGGGGGAGCCGCCGCGCCCAGCGGACAAGGATTGTCTGCAGCAGACAGCGTGGCAGGGCCCACAGTTGGGCACACAGCCGCATCAGTCCAGGGCAGTGGGCCTGGGTCCCAGGCCTCAGAGACCGCACATGCAGAGCATACCCAGGGCTCTGAAGAGGGGAAGCCTTCCTGCGGCTTCCCCAGCCAGCCAGGCCTGCACCAGGGTGGCGATGGTCTGGCTTGTGGTGGCCACCTCCCAGTGAGGGCAGGGACCCCAAGCTGGGCCTGGAGTTCCAGGATCTCAGCCACTAAGTGCCCAGGTGGCATGGGGGAGCCCTGCAGAGAAAGGGTCCAGGCACCCTGTGGCCCTGTCCTGGTCTCATTTGCTTCTACAGACGTGACAATATTCTGGTCTCCAATGTGGCCTCAGCAGGGCCCCCTCTGGGTCCCTGTGGCCACCAGTAATGGCCAACCTGTGCAAATGTAAGGGAGCAGGCATTGGGGGATGGATGTGTGAGCAACTCCTAGCACCAGCCCCCAGGCCCCAAAACTACCCCACACACGTCTGCTGTGGCAGGGAGGGGCACTTAGAGCCACAGCACCCCTGGGTAGCCAACTTCCAGGCCCATATGGGAGCCATGGACTGAGGAAGTCACCCAGGTAGGGTTCTGCGGGCCAGAGGTGGGAGCCCAGCCTCCTTCCCCCAGCTGCTGGGGGATGGGAGGTGGCTCATGCTTTAGGAATTTGAAACAGTCCATCCCAGGGGCTTGCAGTTGGTGTCCCCTGAAGCAGGCTCTCAAGCACAGGCATTCCTGCTCTGCTCAGAGGGTGTTGGAGTGCCCACAAGGACCACTCAGCGCATGCTCAGGCAGGCAAGAGATGCCCCTTCTGGGCACTCTGGACCACCCATAGGAGCTGGAAGCAGATGCTGGGTTTCTGCAGCCACGAGCAAAATGTCCAGTCTTCCCAACTCTGTGCACTGGCCTGTTACAGGCCTGCTTTCCACCTGTTGTCCTGAGCCCCTGTAGGGCAGGTTTTGTGCCAGTGCTGTTTCCAGGGACCCTTTCCTGCCTCTGAAGGCCATACACCCTAGGGTGTCCAGTGGCGTGGTCAAAGATCAACATGAATTCTTCCCCACTTTCTGGGAATTGGTTATAATGCACCAGAGAGGGAGGCAGGCACTGCTGCGGGTCAGCCCCTTTACCCTCCATCCAAATACTGCTGAGTGGCTGCCAGGGACAAGGACTGCAGGAACAAAAGGCCAGAAGCAGCCTCCTAAAGGCCAGGCCTGATCACCCTGAGTGAATGGCTGTCTCCAACAGCTGCTAGTGCCTGAAATTGGGAGGCCTCTCCCAGGCCAGGGGGCAAGGAGGGTTCAAGCTGGGTCTGGATAAGAACCTCTTTCTCTGGTTAGCAGGCCCCCGACCAGGCAGCCAGGCTGCACAGCAGGTCCCTGCCAGTCACTACAGAGGCCAACACTGGGGGGCCAGGTCACAGCCTGTCCTGCAAGGTGACAGAAAGCAGCCCCATGGCCCTCACAGCCCTGACTGGCCTGGCAGTCTCTCTTTCCCAGGATGCTGTGGCCACTGGGAGAGGCTGCCCCGTGGGGAGGAGCTGAGGGCACCTGCTGGGCAGGCCGGGGCATCCCGTGAGCCATGAGGGAGATGCTGGTGGTGTGGTTGGGGTGGGGCCAGACACAGGACACAAGGCACACTTGGACGACGGTGACAGACGGACGAGTCCCTGAGACGCTGGGT